ACTTACTTCGCAGGTATGTGGAACGTACAAACTCTTCAACGTCAGCCGTAGTGACAGAACCCGGTGTTCTCTCCGTAGTGTGTGCGTCGATTCTCACTGACGACACTGAAACCGACGGCGAGGCTGTCTCTGAAAGACAGTTAGAGACAACACCGAGTCTAGTAAGGAAGGAAACGATAAACGACGCGAAGGTCTCTGAACAGTTGGAACAAACGCAACGTCGTCAGATGTTGGATCTTCTTGGAAACTTCTCTGACGTTCTGACTGATGTTCCAGGGAAAACATCTCTCGTCGAGCACGAAATCAGGGTGACCACTGACGATCCAGTGAGGGTGAAAGGTCGAGTTCTACCTTTCCATATGAAAGAGACTATTCGGAAGGAGATGGATCAGATGTTATCAATGGGGGTGATCGAACCCTCAGAATCGCCATACGCAGCGCCAGTAGTCATCGTCAAGAAGAAGGACGGATCAAACCGCTTCTGCATCGATTACCGCCAGATAAACAGAGTCACTGTTTTCGATGCTGAGCCTATGCCCAATGCCGATGACATCTTTGCCCGATTGGCGGGACATATGTATTTCTCGCGTTTGGATTTGACCAAAGGGTATTGGCAAGTGCCAATGGCAGAGACATCTAAACCCAAGACAGCTTTCACTACACCAGGTGGGTTGTTTCAATTTACAGTGATGCCTTTCGGTTTGGTGAATGCTCCAGCTACCTTTTGTCGCTTGATGAGGAAGCTTCTGTACGGAATGTCAAACATAGAGAGTTTTATAGACGACATCCTCATTTATACTCAAACATGGAAACATCATAAGCAGATTCTTCGTGAACTATTTGAGCGACTACGGAAAGCTGGAATCACTGCAAAGCCATCGAAGTGCGCGTTCGGATACAGAAGCCTGGATTGTTTAGGTCATGTCGTTGGAGACCAGAGAATGTTACCGAATCCTGACAAGGTTAAGGCGATTCTTGACGCACCACGACCGGAAACCAAATCGCAAGTCCGATCATTCCTCGGTTTATCGGGATTCTATCGCAAATTCATCGCGAACTTTGCCGCAATTTCAGTTCCTCTGACGGATCTTACAAAGAAAGGACAGCCGAACAAAGTGATCTGGAAAGAACCTCAAGCGAGAGCGTTCACCACGTTGAAACAAATGTTGTCTTCTAGCCCAATCCTCAAACTCGCTGATCTCGAAGCCGATTTTACACTGAGGACGGATGCTTCAGATTATGGGATCGGGGCAGTACTCCTGCAAGAGGAGTCTGGTGAGCTACTTCCGGTTGCGTATGCAAGCAGAAAACTCAAAGGAGCGGAGAAAGCATACTCCGTTGTCGAGAAGGAGTGTTTGGCGGTCGTCTGGGCAATTTCGAAATTCGAGCGGTATCTTTATGGACGCGAATTTATCATCGAAACCGACCACCAGCCGTTGGTTTATCTGAACAAACTGAAGGGAACCAATTCTCGTTTGATGAGGTGGGCTTTGCTTCTGCAGCCATACAGGTTTCGGATACGCGCTATTCGCGGAAAGGACAATGTTGGGGCAGATTGTCTGAGTCGTTTGCAGTGAAACCTATATTCACGCTGTGTGCTTGAGTGACACTTGATTTTGAGAAGCACCAGCATAGTCGATACCTTGAGAACTGACAAAGCTATGTTTGGAGTGAAATGAAATTCTCGAAATTTCATTCTTCTGGCGGGGGCGTGTGTTACATAGCTTTGTACTACCCTATTTGTATTTCGCGCGCATAGACTGTTGTACGCGCACGGGATGTGCGACATGGTATACTAGAGGAGAGAGACAATGGACACTACCGGTGTAAACAGCATGTGAGGGTAGCGGTATCTCACCGGGGCATATATTACCTTTATGGGACCAATATACGCAAACTGCAGCTTGCGGTGAGTACCGACCACACAAACCCATATGTGGATATGTTTATATATGTTGTTAAACTGTTGTGTAGATAAACAGCGAGGTTTCATATTATTGTCTATTTATAGATATCCACCCGATACGTGGCACAGGTGTGTACAGGTGCACGTGTTGTATTGTTTAGGGTGTATAGGGCATTACATGACCTGTAGGTTACATTGGTTGTATTATAATCATTTATTATCATATATGTAGTTGTAAATATAGATATAATATATAATAAAGGGTTGTATTGGCTACATACAGTTATATCACTCACGTGTATGCACGGGTGCATGCCAGCATGACAGATATTAAGGCGTCGTGTGGCATACTTTAGTGAACTTTACATTGAAGTTGATTTAGCTGTAAATATGTATTATACCATATTATATATATTCATATATGTCCATATTATTGCTGTAAATTGTTGGGGATGATTTAATAACGATGTAGGGTTATATTTATATCTATTGTAGTTTAACCCAGTAGAGAGGGATAACTGCCAGAGGTGCACGCATGTCTTACTAAGTGGTCTGGGGTACTGGGTTGCCTGTTGAGGGACACAGCCAGCACTTATGATGAGGATAGACTGTCCACCTTGTGTTCAGCATTTGGCTAATGTATAGCTCTGGAACTTTTCTGGTTGTTGTGTTCCGGCAGTCTTTATGTGACGGTGACCACATCACATGTGTACTGACACTTACTCCGTGGTGGATATCAGCCCATCAGTATACGGTGTCACTGTAGCAGGAACATTTGGGAAATAATGGAATACTGCCCATTTATAGAGTGTGACTGTTACTTTGTATATATCTTATGCCTTTAATCTATGACCTTGTTGAATGTACGAGAGAGAGTGTGTATGAAGTGCAACCATTGTTAATAGTGTATAGTGTAATTAAATATTGTAAATAATGTAAATACTCTGTGTTGTGTTGCTTTACCGTCATCAGAGTGGACAATATGCTCATCCCATGTGGGCAGAGTTGTAGCTAGCACAGTGTAGCAAGGAATATGGTGGCTTTCGTCTGTTCGCTTTGTTACCTGCGAAATGACACCGAGCGAAAAAAAAAAAACAGTAAAACGATAGACAGAAATGTGTAAGCCCAGGCGAGGGGTCTGGGGGCCGCCTAGGAAAACGAATTTCATAATTTCAGAGATGTTTTGAATCGTTTTCTGAAACATCTTTTTTTTTTTTATTTATTTAACAACAAACTTCAACCCCTGACTAAGTAAAAGCTAACTTTCTGTGCTTTTGATTCGCTAAAATGTCCTTGACAATTTCCGTATCTTGGTTACATGTACCTTCGGTCTTTGATGTGTCACTTTTAGTGTGGTCACTCGATTCGACTTTATTTTGTTTGAAAAACTTGTCGATCGACGTCTGTAATCCAGAAGCCTTCTTCATTTTGAAAATTTGCACTTTAACAACATTATAATCGGAAACGTTGAAATGATAGTAAGACATAGAATAGTATGACGTGTATATAATATCCGGAAAGCAATGCACTAGGCCTAGTTATTCACAATTTTCTATTTATATATTTTTAATTATCAAAAATATCAGATACCTATTTTCAACTTTAGTGTTGTAATTTTGTCCGACATACTCTATGCACGGATTTTTTTTAATGTTTTGGCTTTTTCTTTCTATGGAAGCTTGTACTTACGAGGGCTGATCGATATGTTGTGAGCCTCATATTTAAGGGTTTGACTTTTGGCAGACATATTGCATTATGTTCCAAAATATTCCCCTTCAGTAGCTATACACTTTTGTCAGCGATGTTTAAAGGCATCAATGCAACTTTTAAAGAAATCAATTTTTTGACTGTCCAGAGAGTCCTCCACTGCAAGTATGGTGTGAACATCTGATCGAAAGTAGGTACCGGAAATGATCTTTTTTCAATTTTCGAAATAGATGAAAGCCTGATGGAGGGTGATCAGGCAAATAAGGAGGATGCTCAATAAATTTAAAGCCACAATCGTTAATGGCAGCCATGGCAATGACAGACTTGTAAAAATGGGCATTGCCTGGTGGAACAACACACATTTACTGAGTTTTCCGCGGCGCTCGAGTTAAATATTTACTCTTTACTGCCTAAGAAGTCAGTGGCGTAGCGTCCGTGCATGCTTGCATGCTCAAGCATGCAAGAATAAAATTCGAGAAAACATGTTTCTTTTCTTGTTTAATATTTACTCTTTACTGCCTAAGAAGTGATGCATACTTTCTGCCATTGATTGTCCCGTTTGCAGATAATCTACCATCAGCATCCCAGAAAACTGAGACCATAACCTTTCCAGCTGATGGAACAGTCTTTGCATTCTTTGGTGGGGGTGAACCAGAGCGTTTCCATTGCTTAGACTGATTTTTGTGCCACTGGGGTGAAATGATGGACCTACGTTTCACCCATAGTCACAAACCTCTGCAAATAGTTAGTAGGATTTGCCTCTAAAGGGTTCAAGTTAACGTACGACAAGGTCCGTCTGGTGTGCTTCTGGTCAACTTTCAGAAGTCTGGGTACCCAACGGGCTGAGACTTTTCTCATTACAAGATCTTCCGTAAAAATGGAATGTACTCTTTGCTGTGAAATCCCAACTGTGCTGGCTATATGTCCCTTTGTCACTCGCTTGTCAGCCATAACAGTATCATGGATATTATTGTCCATTTCTGGGATTACAACAGTGACAGGCATTCCAGGACGGGTGTCATATGAAAGGGAAATCATCCCCTAGTGTTGCTACCATGTCAGTATAGATATCCTTAGGTGCTAGACCTTTCCTAAATAAATAGTGAATCATTGTTCTTTCAGCGATTTTGTCCTTTTTGCAAAAGTCACTTGCCTTGTTTACTTTACATTGCTATCTCTTTGACATAAACTGATTAAATGACACCGGTTTTCGGGCCTTGAATATTCAGGGAAGAGAAGAGCTGAAAAAAGGACATTCCTGCTTAACTTCTTCAATACAAGGCCCACAACTTATCAACCAGTCCTGATTGTGCTCTGAATGTGAAAGTAGTTTTCTTATTTTCCATTCATATATCTTACATCGTAGTTCCTCGGAGTATGGTACGAGATGTCCCGATTTTATGACCAGTTCGAGGAAGGTCAGACCTGTATCCGAATGGAATACACCCTTAAACCAGATGGACACATAGGATTACAGAACGTTGGCGATCTGTAAGTGTTTTACTCTTTACGGCATTTACTAATATTACATGACTTAAATAACACGCGACTTTAATTCTAGATGTTCCATATAGTTTCAATGCGCATTTGTTTGGTATTATTTTGATTAAACATTTGTGAGAATAGTATAGTAAGCACATTCTCTATAATGATAATAATTTGAAACAACTGTGATTTAGTCTCTGTTGATCTTCGTTAATATACATCCATTTGAAGATGGTAATACCCCTGCTTCTCCAATCTTTTGTGTTTTACTTGGATTAACCATGATTTGAGTTTGATGCCGACTATAAAGTATAAAACGGATGCTCTTCCTGAACGCCTTGTCTTATCATATTATTGATTTATATTTGACCTTAGTTCATCTATTTCAAATCTAAATGAAAATACAACAGCGGTAGCTGAGGGAGACGGTTATAGACAGTATGATAGCGGTATCAGTGACTACAGTTTGTCTCTATATTATACTAGTCCGGACAATACAACTGTGGTAGCTGAGGGAGACGGTTATAGACAGTATGATAGCGGTATCAGTGACTACAGTTTGTCTCTATATTATACTAGACCAGACAATACAACTGTGGTAGCTGAGGGAGAAGGTTATAGACAGTATGATAGCGGTATCACTGACTACAGTTCGTCTCTATATTATACTAGACCAGACAATACAACTGTGGTAGCTGAGGGAGACGGTTATAGACAGTATGATAGCGGTATCAGTGACTACAATAGTGTCTCTATATTATACTAGACCAGACAATACAACTGTGGTAGCTGAGGGAGACGGTTATAGACAGTATGATAGCGGTATCAGTGACTACAATAGTGTCTCTATATTATACTAGACCAGACAATACAACTGTGGTAGCTGAGGGAGACGGTTATAGACAGTATGATAGCGGTATCAGTGACTACAGTAGTGTCTATATATTATACTAGACCAGACAATACAACTGTGGTAGCTGAGGGAGACGGTTATAGACAGTATGATAGCGGTATCAGTGACTACAGTAGTGTCTATATATTATACTAGACCAGACAATACAACTGTGGTAGCTACAGTAGTGTCTCTATAGGGAGACGGTTATAGACAGTATGATAGCGGTATCAGTGACTACAGTAGTGTCTCATATTATACTAGACCAGACAATACAACTGTGGTAGCTGAGGGAGACGGTTATAGACAGTATGATAGCGGTATCAGTGACTACAGTAGTGTCTCTATATTGATAGCGGTAGACTACAGACAATACAACTGTGGTAGCTGAGGGAGACGGTTATAGACAGTATGATAGCGGTATCAGTGACTACAGTAGTGTCTCTATATTATACTAGACCAGACAATACAACTGTGGTAGCTGAGGGAGACGGTTATAGACAGTATGATAGCGGTATCAGTGACTACAGTAGTGTCTATATATTATACTAGACCAGACAATACAACTGTGGTAGCTGAGGGAGACGGTTATAGACAGTATGATAGCGGTATCAGTGACTACAGTAGTGTCTATATATTATACTAGACCAGACAATACAATACAACTGTGGTAGCTGAGGGAGACGGTTATAGACAGTATGATAGCGGTATCAGTGACTACAGTAGTGTCTCTATATTATACTAGACCAGACAATACAACTGTGGTAGCTGAGGGAGACGGTTATAGACAGTATGATAGCGGTATCAGTGACTACAGTAGTGTCAATATATTATACTAGACCAGACAATACAACTGTGGTAGCTGAGGGAGACGGTTATAGACAGTATGATAGCGGTATCAGTGACTACAGTAGTGTCTCTATATTATACTAGACCAGACAATACAACTGTGGTAGCTGAGGGAGACGGTTATAGACAGTATGATAGCGGTATCAGTGACTACAGTAGTGTCTCTATATTATACTAGACCAGACAATACAACTGTGGTAGCTGAGGGAGACGGTTATAGACAGTATGATAGCGGTATCAGTGACTACAGTAGTGTCTCTATATTATACTAGACCAGACAATACAACTGTGGTAGCTGAGGGAGACGGTTATAGACAGTATGATAGCGGTATCAGTGACTACAGTAGTGTCTCTATATTATACTAGACCAGACAATACAACTGTGGTAGCTGAGGGAGACGGTTATAGACAGTATGATAGCGGTATCAGTGACTACAGTAGTGTCTCTATATTATACTAGACCAGACAATACAACTGTGGTAGCTGAGGGAGACGGTTATAGACAGTATGATAGCGGTATCAGTGACTACAGTAGTGTCTCTATATTATACTAGACCAGACAATACAACTGTGGTAGCTGAGGGAGACGGTTATAGACAGTATGATAGCGGTATCAGTGACTACAGTAGTGTCTCTATATCTAGACTACAACTGTGGTATTTATACTATGATAGCCAGACAATACAACTGTGGTAGCTGAGGGAGACGGTTATAGACAGTATGATAGCGGTATCAGTGACTACAGTAGTGTCTCTATATTATACTAGACCAGACAATACAACTGTGGTAGCTGAGGGAGACGGTTATAGACAGTATGATAGCGGTATCAGTGACTACAGACAACAATACAACTGTGGTAGCTGAGGGAGACGGTTATAGACAGTATGATAGCGGTATCAGTGACTACAGTAGTGTCTATATATTATACTAGACCAGACAATACAACTGTGGTAGCTGAGGGAGACGGTTATAGACAGTATGATAGCGGTATCAGTGACTACAGTAGTGTCTATATATTATACTAGACCAGACAATACAACTGTGGTAGCTGAGGGAGACGGTTATAGACAGTATGATAGCGGTATCAGTGACTACAGTAGTGTCTCTATATTATACTAGACCAGACAATACAACTGTGGTAGCTGAGGGAGACGGTTATAGACAGTATGATAGCGGTATCAGTGACTACAGTAGTGTCTCTATATTATACTAGACCAGACAATACAACTGTGGTAGCTGAGGGAGACGGTTATAGACAGTATGATAGCGGTATCAGTGACTACAATTTGTCTCTATATTATACTATTCCGGACAATACAACTGTGGTAGCTGAGGGAGACGGTTATAGACAGTATGATAGCGGTATCAGTGACTACAGTAGTGTCTCTATATTATACTAGACCAGACAATACAACTGAGGTAGCTGAGGGAGACGGTTATAGACAGTATGATAGCGGTATCAGTGACTACAGTAGTGTCTCTATATTATACTAGACCAGACAATACAACTGTGGTAGCTGAGGGAGACGGTTATAGACAGTATGATAGCGGTATCAGTGACTACAGTAGTGTCTCTATATTATACTAGACCAGACAATACAACTGTGGTAGCTGAGGGAGACGGTTATAGACAGTATGATAGCGGTGTCAGTGACTACAGTAGTGTCTCTATATTATACTAGACCAGACAATACAACTGTGGTAGCTGAGGGAGACGGTTATAGACAGTATGATAGCGGTGTCAGTGACTACAGTAGTGGCTGTATATTAACTACAATACAACTGTGGTAGCTGAGGGAGACGGTTATAGACAGTATGATAGCGGTATCAGTGACTACAGTAGTGTCTCTATATTATACTAGACCAGACAATACAACTGTGGTAGCTGAGGGAGACGGTTATAGACAGTATGATAGCGGTATCAGTGACTACAGTAGTGTCTAAGATAAATTAAAAATTACGGAAGATACAACTGTGGTAGCTGAGGGAGACGGTTATAGACAGTATGATAGCGGTATCAGTGACTACAGTAGTGTCTCTATATTATACTAGACCAGACAATACAACTGTGGTAGCTGAGGGAGACGGTTATAGACAGTATGATAGCGGTATCAGTGACTACAGTAGTGTCTCTATATTATACTAGACCAGACAATACAACTGTGGTAGCTGAGGGAGACGGTTATAGACAGTATGATAGCGGTATCAGTGACTACAGTAGTGTCTATATATTATACTAGACCAGACAATACAACTGTGGTAGCTGAGGGAGACGGTTATAGACAGTATGATAGCGGTATCAGTGACTACAGTAGTGTCTCTATATTATACTAGACCAGACAATACAACTGTGGTAGCTGAGGGAGACGGTTATAGACAGTATGATAGCGGTATCAGTGACTACAGTAGTGTCTCTATATTATACTAGACCAGACAATACAACTGTTGTAGCTGAGGGAGACGGTTATAGACAGTATGATAGCGGTATCAGTGACTACAATTTGTCTCTATATTATACTATTCCGGACAATACAACTGTGGTAGCTGAGGGAGACGGTTATAGACAGTATGATAGCGGTATCAGTGACTACAGTAGTGTCTCTATATTATACTAGACCAGACAATACAACTGTGGTAGCTGAGGGAGACGGTTATAGACAGTATGATAGCGGTATCAGTGACTACAGTAGTGTCTATATATTATACTAGACCAGACAATACAACTGTGGTAGCTGAGGGAGACGGTTATAGACAGTATGATAGCGGTATCAGTGACTACAGTAGTGTCTATATATTATACTAGACCAGACAATACAACTGTTGTAGCTGAGGGAGACGGTTATAGACAGTATGATAGCGGTATCAGTGACTACAGTAGTGTCTATATATTATACTAGACCAGACAATACAACTGTGGTAGCTGAGGGAGACGGTTATAGACAGTATGATAGCGGTATCAGTGACTACAGTAGTGTCTCTATATTATACTAGACCAGACAATACAACTGTTGTAGCTGAGGGAGACGGTTATAGACAGTATGATAGCGGTATCAGTGACTACAATTTGTCTCTATATTATACTATTCCGGACAATACAACTGTGGTAGCTGAGGGAGACGGTTATAGACAGTATGATAGCGGTATCAGTGACTACAGTAGTGTCTCTATATTATACTAGACCAGACAATACAACTGAGGTAGCTGAGGGAGACGGTTATAGACAGTATGATAGCGGTATCAGTGACTACAGTAGTGTCTCTATATTATACTAGACCAGACAATACAACTGAGGTAGCTGAGGGAGACGGTTATAGACAGTATGATAGCGGTATCAGTGACTACAGTAGTGTCTATATATTATACTAGACCAGACAATACAACTGTGGTAGCTGAGGGAGACGGTTATAGACAGTATGATAGCGGTATCAGTGACTACAGTAGTGTCTCTATATTACAGACCAGACAATACAACTGTGGTAGCTGAGGGAGACGGTTATAGACAGTATGATAGCGGTATCAGTGACTACAATACAACTGTTGTAGCTGAGGGAGACGGTTATAGACAGTATATAGCGGTGTCATGACTACAGTAGTGTCTGTATATTATACTAGACCAGACAATACAACTGTGGTAGCTGAGGGAGACGGTTATAGACAGTATGATAGCGGTATCAGTGACTACAGTAGTGTCTCTATATTATACTAGACCAGACAATACAACTGTGGTAGCTGAGGGAGACGGTTATAGACAGTATGATAGAGGTATCAGTGACTACAGTAGTGTCTGTATATTATACTAGACCAGACAATACAACTGTGGTAGCTGAGGGAGACGGTTATAGACAGTATGATAGCGGTGTCAGTGACTACAGTAGTGTCTCTATATTATACTAGACCAGACAATACAACTGTGGTAGCTGAGGGAGACGGTTATAGACAGTATGATAGCGGTGTCAGTGACTACAGTAGTGTCTGTATATTATACTAGACCAGACAATACAACTGTGGTAGCTGAGGGAGACGGTTATAGACAGTATGATAGCGGTGTCAGTGACTACAGTAGTGTCTCTATATTATACTAGACCAGACAATACAACTGTGGTAGCTGAGGGAGACGGTTAAAGACAGTATGATAGAGGTATCAGTGACTACAGTAGTGTCTGTATATTATACTAGACCAGACAATACAACTGTGGTAGCTGAGGGAGACGGTTACGTTCCCGATCCGACAACTCCTGCCAGGTACATGGTCACGTTCTCAGGCAGTAAGTACCGATCTCTATAAGGCGTGTTTAATTTTTTATCTGATAATTGTGAATATAAAAAAAAGTTTCCCTCGATACTGTTTTCTTTTGCCTTTCTTGTGTTGATATAAAATCAAAGACTAACGAATATAATGTTACAATGAAAGCGTATTGAAATACACGTGATTAATGTGTTTGTTTCTATACTTTTAAACAACAGTTCTCAGAAAATAAAACAAGTTATTATTATTATTATTATTATTATTCTAATTTTAGAGATTGTTATTTGATAAGAAATATTCAGAATGCAAAATCATATTAATTTTATTATTATCAACAGGAAGCTATATTAAACTTGAAATAGTTCTGGAATAAAATACGTTTTATAATAATACCGTATGAATGTCTATATCTTATGTTTAGAATGTTATTGTTTTGTTAAGTGGAAATGTTTGATGATGTTTTTGTAGGTATCATTCCAAGAACTGTTTGAATCAATTATCAGTGACATATAGTGTGATTTGTTATGTGAAAAAAACCCGACCAATACACCTGGTTTTCTTTGTAGGCACGCATCCTTTGGAGTATTCTATTGTAGTGACTGACTACACAGACCACGCCCTCGTCTTCTCGTGTACGGAGGTCCTTGGGATGGCCAACGCCCAGTTCGCGTGGATTCTCACTCGCAACCGAACCATAAGTAACAAGGTCATGCGGGCACTGACTGCAAAACTGTCGTGTTATGGAGTTGATATTGACCAGTTGGAGGACAGCGCGCAACTAAACTGCTGAATAATACCAGTTATCTCCCTTTGTCTATATAGCCATATTATCTACATACATACACGTTGAAGTAATTTTTTGTTTGTTTTTTGTTTGTAGACAACAGGAATTCCAACGTAGAAATGACAACTTCAATGTAATTAACGCTACCACTGATTATCCAAAGCATTTCACAAATATTGTTCAAACAAATTTTATTATCATAAAAATGTAACTTATTCATCACTTAGTTTAGTGTTGGGGTTCATCATGTAGGTTTTTTCAATGTACATTTATCACGTGGTACTAGTGATAAAGTCAACACCTTTATAGTGTATATATATATGATCCTTGTCAGCTGACAGATCTACATTATGTCAGTATCATAATAAATATAATTTATTGTTTATTTTATTTTGTGGTGTGCAAATGTTAATGTTTTGAAATAAATAAATGATTCTGAGTAAATTTTATAGGGGCTGTTAGCATTACTACGACTCCTCGATCCACAGGCTGGAGTACAACTTGAGCATATGATAAAATATAACAAAGTGAATATTTAGATACAGAATATAGATATTCTCTCCTACACCCAGTTGCTCATTTATTTAAACTATAGGTGTGACTTACAATTTCAAAAACAATGAGGCAAGAAACTCGAAAACGTTCACTTAAATTTGAAAGGAGGTACTTTGTAAATGACATACATTAAGGGTTTGAAGGAAGGAATCCTGTTGCCATTTAATCATAGGATAATAGACATATGAACTGCAGATTGGGATATGAACCAACACCAAATGGAGTTCATTGAAACTATGAATGCGTTTACATTGCAAACTTTATTTATTATCGTTTCATTTACATGTACAAAGTGAAAACAGTTGAATATTGGTTGTCAATGCCTCGACCGAAATGTCCAGGGTCACTAGGTGCATGTTGGGGTCTAGGGTTACTAGGTGCATGTTGGGATCCTAGGTTACTAAGTGCAAGTTGGGCTGCCACTGCCGTTGTTGGATCCTGTATCAATATATATCAATATCAATATATATATATATATACGTATATTAAAAATAAGAATGAATAAGAGTATAAGAATATATGTCTTTCATTTCAACAAATGTTGATGCACAGTAGGCTAATACTCTGGATGTGTTAATGAATAAGTATCTACTATAAAGCACACTCTAAAGAGCTCTGATTCAGGTGTTTACTTGGAAAATACAACAAATACTGATATATTATAAACAAAAAAATTATAGGTAGACCAAACACGATATTACTTAAGATCAATTTTACAGTAAAACGAAGAATTAATCGTACCTACCACTTTCATGATTTAGGTATAGGACGGACTTACCAGATGTTCCCGTGTCCCCGGGGTTAGCACACAGTCTGTTCTGACATACTTTACCGGAGGGGCACGCTGAACAGGATCTACCCTGTGTGTAGGGCTGCCTTCCACGGTAGTTACCTCTGTAAACACAGTTATAGTTAGTTTGACGAATTCCATTTCAGATTGATTATTGAGATTAAGAGACGTAAACAACAATGTTTCCTCACACTTTCGGAATGTTAACAAAACTTCCGTTCCAACCCTTAAATAATAGACCACGGTAATTATAGGAAAAAGAAGTACATAGCCCTTTGGAAAAGGTACGAGGAGATCTTCAATCTTAAATACGATATTTGGGCAACACAATGTGATTATAAATCGGTCTTCTGGGTTAGCTGACTGGTATGTTTTGCACGTAGACTTAATTTCCTCGAGGTTTTCTACAACCTCGCATACCACGTCCCAATTCATATAAATATACACATGTATTGGTCATTCTTCAGTATTTACATCATCTAATCTTTAAAGTTGACAGAATTTATTAGATTTCTACACGTATTACAAAAATTGTTGGCGTCCAATTTAGATTTTCTGACTGTTCTTCCGAACACGAGGCCCCTATCATTACTGAAGAAGGATAAAGGGGTTGTGTGATAGTTGTACGTGGTGTGAAGGAACACTCGTATTTGGCTAGAAGTTCTGTTCTAAAAAACGTCGAAAGTATGACGGAGGTCGACGTTACCTACCCCTTCCCATAGTTACAGACGACTATGATGGAATCGGCCCAGCCACTGCTCAGACCAAAAATAGATCCACACTGAGCGGCACCACATCCAACAAACTCCGAGTCATGCCAAACAACCTAAAGTAAACACCATATTATACAATCTTCATCATCAAACCTAAAGTAAACACCATATTATACAATCTTCATCATCAAACCTAAAGTAAACACCATATTATACAATCTTCATCATCAAACCTACAGTATACACCATATTATACAATCTTCATCATCAAACTTAAAGTAAACACCATATTATACAATCTTCATCATCAAACCTAAAGTAAACACCATATTATACATCATCTTCATCATCACCATATTATACAATCTTCACAAACCTAAAGTACACCATATTATACAATCTTCATCATCAAACCTAAAGTAAACACCATATTATACAATCTTCATCATCAAACCTACAGTATACACCATATTATACAATCTTCATCGTCAAACCTAAAGTAAACACCATATTATACAATCTTCATCATCAAACCTAAAGTAAACACCATATTATACAATCTTCATCATCAAACCTTGCATATATTCTAATCTACATAACACCAAAACTACGTAGCGCAAAACACCATTCAAACAGTCTTAAGGACAAATTACGTAACAGATAATTGCTACTGTCTTCTAAAAACACCAGTATTTAAAGACACATTTTCCCCATGTCTTACCTGTGTATAGTGACCACATACTGATGTGCAGCCGAGTGTGGCGTAGTTGTAATTCTTTACCTCACTGACCCAGGAATTTACTACACCCTCGCCGTTATATGCTAAAAATAGAAATAAAAGAGACTGGCAATGGAGAATGGCGGAACAGCTGTGTCATTGAGTTTGATTTTAAATTACCGTGTTAATTGTTACTATTAACTTGTGTCTTTTGTAAAATTATTGGTATGTGATGATTAAACTAGTGACTTAGAATAGAAGTTCTTATAACACAACCAGTAGAAGATTAGAGTGTGACGTTTCGATGACGACACTGTCACCTTCATCTTATAACACAACCAGTAGAATATTAGTGTGACGTGTGACAATGACTACACGGTCATCTTCATCTTATAACACAACCAGTAGAAGATTAGAGTGTGACGTTTCGATGACTACACGGTCACCTTCATCTTATAACACAACCAGTAGAAGATTAGAGTGTGACGTTTCAATGACTACACGGTCACCTTCATCTTATAACACAACCAGTAGAAGATTAGAGTGTGACGTTTCGATGACTACACGGTCACCTTCATCTTATAACACAACCAGTAGAAGATTAGAGTGTGACGTTTCGATGACTACACGGTCACCTTCATCTTATAACACAACCAGTAGAAGATTAGAGTGTGACGTTTCGATGACTACACGGTCACCTTCATCTTATAACACAACCAGTAGAAGATTAGAGTGTGACGTTTCGATGACTACACGGTCACCTTCATCTTATAACACAACCAGTAGAAGATTAGAGTGTGACGTTTCGATGACTACACGGTCACCTTCATCTTATAACACAACCAGTAGAAGATTAGAGTGTGACGTTTCGATGACTACACGGTCACCTTCATCTTATAACACAACCAGTAGAAGATTAGAGTGTGACGTTTCGATGACGACACTGTCACCTTCATCTTATAACACAACCAGTAGAAGATTAGAGTGTGACGTTTCGATCGATGACTACACGGTCACCTTCATCTTATAACACAACCAGTAGAAGATTAGAGTGTGACGTTTCGATGACTACACTGTCACCTTCATCTTATAACACAACCAGTAGAAGATTAGAGTGTGACGTTTCGATGACTACACAACCAGGTCACCTTCATCTTATAACACAACCAGTAGAAGATTAGAGTGTGACGTTTCGATGACTACACTGTCACCTTCATCTTATAACACAACCAGTAGAAGATTAGAGTGTGACGTTTCGATGACGACACTGTCACCTTCATCTTATAACACAACCAGTAGAATATTAGTGTGACGTTTCGATGACTACACTGTCACCTTCATCTTATAACACAACCAGTAGAAGATTAGAGTGTGACGTTTCGATGACGACACTGTCACCTTCATCTTATAACACAACCAGTAGAATATTAGTGTGACGTTTCGATGACTACACTGTCACCTTCATCTTATAACACAACCAGTAGAAGATTAGAGTGTGACGTTTCGATGACGACACTGTCACCTTCATCTTATAACACAACCAGTAGAATATTAGTGTGACGTTTCGATGACTACACTGTCACCTTCATCTTATAACACAACCAGTAGAAGATTAGAGTGTGACGTTTCGATGACTACACTGTCACCTTCATCTTATAACACAACCAGTAGAAGATTAGAGTGTGACGTTTCGATGACGACACTGTCACCTTCATCTTATAACACAACCAGTAGAAGATTGTATAACACAACCAGTAGTGTGACGTTTCGATGACTACACTGTCACCTTCATCTTATAACACAACCAGTAGAAGATTAGAGTGTGACGTTTCGATGACTACACTGTCACCTTCATCTTATAACACAACCAGTAGAAGATTAGAGTGTGACGTTTCGATGACAACACGGTTACCTTCATCTTATAACACAACCAGTAGAAGATTGGAGTGTGACGTTTCGATGACGACACTGTCACCTTCATTAGACAAATGATCAGTGTGGAGCATACTAACACTGACGTACGTAGTGTACAAGAACCTTGCTCAACAGATGTGAAACGATTATCACAGAAGAACAAGACAAGAAGCAAGAACAAAATCACATCTATAGCGCAATGTAACACATGGGTACCCTGACTTGGCAATCTAACCTTAAGAAAATGTTCCAAAATAACTAGTGATATAGTTAATTGACTAGACTGAAAATCCTAAAGTTGTATACAAGTACAAACACAGAGACGAAAGCCACAATGGCTGTGTCTTAGATCTATAGGGAAATACAGAATAAACAATACATGTTATTTCACTGATCAAGAGGATGATCATCAATGAAAACTGTCCTCTTTTCTCACTTTGGACAGGTGTTTCACACTTTCCATTGGGTTAGAATTTGAAATTCAGTTATTCATTGGCGTCACCAATGCCAGGAATCCTGCGCTGCTGTGGGATTCGATATATTTAATTCTGCTGTTCTTTTTGTTGTTTGGTATCAAGTTACTTTATAACTTTAGTTGAGCAATAAAACTGAAAAAATGACATTGAACTCATAACCACGGAGAGTACAAATGGTAGATTCAATTATAGTATAGTTATAAACATCACATCGAAAGAGAGCAATAAGTTTCCCTTCTACACCGATTTGCACGTGCTTTCTTACTTCCGGATGTGAGAAACAGGTTCTCGCCAACGTAGCTGAATGACGGCGCCTCTGACCTCGATGGATTGTGGGACCATACACACCTTTCCGCGTAGTTTTGGGCTACAGCAGCAAGTTCATCACTCCACGACTGAAAAAAGAAATAGAATCGTCAGCACCGCCATCGGTAACAATGTGTCGCGGTGTAGACAACACTGTCACTGATAAAACACGATGCCACGTGGGATAGGCAGAACTGTCAATGGTAACACACCATACCACATGGGATAGACAGAAATTTCAGACATAACACACAATGAAACGATGGATAGACAGGTCTCTCAGTGATAACACATGATGAAACACGGGACAGACAACACTTTCAATGACCGCACACATTTGTTATTGATTTATTGAAAGCAAAAGAAGGATACTTAAATCATTGTCGTAGGTGTTAAATTGATGTTGATTTCGTGATTTTAAACAACCTTCCCCAGAACATACATGATTTCACAGTATCATGATCTATTGTTAACCACATCGACTTATTTCTTATCAAAATGTTGTCAAATTTTAACTTTCATACACATTCAATAAAAGTTGAGAACTCACCATTTTTAGCATGTTAGATGCGGTAGGGGATACCTCAGTTCTAGCTTGGTTATGAAAGTTGACCAAGTCCTGTTTCTGACCCGCCGTGAGGCCTTGGAAACCGGCATTTTTCTTGTTAAGATGGAGTTCCCCTCCTACTTTGAATGCTTGCTGTAAGTCTTCTTCCAGTTGTTTTAGTACATTGTCCTGTGGCGCAGCGGTTACTATGACAACCAGGATACAACTAATCAGAAGCTTAATCTTCATGACGAGATAAAACAACTTGTAACTATTAGAAACTAATCGAACGGCTTTCTAGACAAAACCAATCAGCAGTAAATTGATACATTGACCAGCTAGAAACCGACATCGAACTTAAATATACCGCATTGTTTACATTGAAAATTTAATTTTCGTCACACTTAATCTTTTGATTGGTTTTGTTTCTAAACTCAAGTTTATTTACCGAACAGATAATCTTGATGTAAGCAGAGGAATGTACATGAACATTCTTTACTGAAAAGTGTCAACAAAACGTTCAACATCTATAATGTCTAGACTGTTGGCTGTACTAGCATAGTCATGTTTCACTTAGATATCCCATGATAAACGTCATCTCGAAGGAAAACTTTAATATGTAATTATATATCAAGTTCACAGGAAGGCTTTGATATGTAATAACATGGCAAGTTCACAGGAAGGCTTTGATATGTATAATGTAAATATATTTCGATAGGTTAACCAACCCTTTTGTTATAATTTGAAAAACAAATGAAAACAAAACACCGTGATTCTGTTTTTGGAAATAACATTCTTGAACTTCTTTCATTGCAAGTTGAATTCATGCGTCATAACACTTGGCCATATTGATCACCACATAACATAAATACTGTTATATGTCAAACTGTCAGACATGCAGCTTTTTAGAAAATATAAATATAAATGTTATTTCTTTTATGTAATATGCAATATCGTCCGAAATTATCCTAAATGTAATGATATTTGATACTGTCAGAAAATCTCCTAAATGTAATGATATGTGATATCGACAGAAAATCTTCTTAATGTAATGATATTTGATACTGTCAGAAAATCTCCTTAATGTAATGATATGTGATACTGTCAGAAAATCTCCTTAACGAATGATACGTGATTTTATCAGAAATCTCCTTTATGTAATGATGTGTGATATCGTCAGAAAATCTCCTTTATGTAATGAGATGTGATATCGTCAGAAAATCTCCTTAATGTAATGAGATGTGATATCGACAAAAATCTCCTTTATAATATGATATGTGATATCGTAAAAAAATCTCCTTAATGTAATGAGATGTGATATCGTCAGAGATGTGATATCGACAAAAATCTCCTTAATGTAATGATATTTGATACTGTCAGAAAATCTCCTTAATGTAATGATATGTGATATCGACAGAAAATCTCCTTAATGTAATGATATGTGATATCGACAGAAAATCTCCTTAATGTAATGATATGTGATACTGTCAGAAAATCTCCTTAATGTAATGATATTGTATACCGTCAGAAAATCTCCTTTATGTAATGATATTTGATATCGTCAGAAAATCTCCTTGATGTAATGATACATGATATCGTCAGAAAATCTCCTAAATGTAATGGTATGTGATACTGTCAAAAAATCTCCTTTATAATATGATATGTGATACTGTCAGAAAATCTCCTTTATGTAATGAAACGTGATACTGTCAGAAAATATTACGATATGTGATAACGATCTACAATATGAGTATTTCCAGACACTGGTTTAAAAGTGGGCTAGTTTCCTGTAAAGTCTCTGTGTGTTCGTTAGAATCAGACAACGCAACAGCACGGCAACATATATAACCACAGAAAATTGATTAGAATGTGAAAAGTGTAGTCGGAGACACTTCTTATAACATCTAATCCATTCCCAATGCCTTTAAAACAATTCAACATGTCTGATCAATTATGTCACAAAACTTTCATTTTCTTTCTAATAAGGTTCATACTGACCAAAATATTTTGTTGAATAATCAAAGATTTTATAAAAGACACACAAGTGAATAACAAGTAGTGCCAAAAAATGATTGAACTGTATCAACAGCTGTTTCGTCCTTCTAGGACTCGTCTGTGTTACTACATCATACAGCTGTTTCGTCCTTCTAGGACTCGTCTGTGTTACTACATCATACAGTTGTTTCGTCCTTCTAGGACTCGTCAGTGATGCTACATCATACAGCTGTTTGTCCTTCTAGGACTCGTAATAGATGCTAAATTTTGAAGACAATGAGAAGAACGAGGAACATCCAAAGAGTTCGAAAGAAAAGTAAAAATCTAGATGGCAAGATGCACATGCTCCATGGTTCAATGAAATTAGTATTTTGCATTGATCATGTAGTTTTAGAACAATGTCAAGTTCATGTTATTTCTTGATGCCCAACTTTCAAACTACATCTATCAACGTTACCATCAGAATTTGTAATAATCCTTTACATACAGGTCTGTCGTTCAGATAAATGTTTAAGGTTTGTTAATTAGATCCTCCTCGTACAGCTCATTATCTGAGGTAAATATTACTATATAAACCTACAATATATCTTAAGTTAAGAAACACGACTGTCAGTATTGATAGTAATTAATTTAAGATTTCCTTTCATTTTGTGCTTATATATAAACGTTGAGAAAAATTATAGACTTCCGGTCTTCAACTTGTTTTTTTTTTTTTTTTTTTGCTTACCGAAAGTTTAGATCAGTTCGGAATGTATTTTTACTGTAGAAAAAGACGTGGAATGAATACAAATTAGGTGTGCATATTGAGGGAAATACCTGTTTTTCAATTCTGTTGCAGCAAATTTTTAAAAACAATTCTTTTTCGATACAGGAAAATAAAGATGGTAAGGTCACACGAGAATTGTTGAATTTTTAATGAGATACATATTAAAAAGTGATGCTGGTGATACCAGTATACTATTGAGATTTGGGAAATGAAGACTGAGAAGAAAATCTATCGGTTGCAAGACATTTTAATGTATATAAACCATCATTAAACTATTAGTGAGCTGTGTAGTTTTCACTATATTTAATACCTACGTCAGTGACGATATTTAAAATTGGTTTACTTACATACATGTTTACAAGCCATTTAAACGCATGCTTATCTTCCTTCGATTTAAGTTTATCTTGTGATAAAAGTCAAACAGGTTTTCATCTAAATGACGTGGGCTGAAAAGAGCAAACAAGATTTGGTTGACGTTTTCGCCAATATAAATAAAACAGCTTGTACATGTATATATATTTACTTAAAATTTTAAGACAGGGAGGAATGTAACACATATCTGTTAAATAAAACCAATATTTCATGCTATAAGTGGCACTTGTTATCAAATAATCACTTTTTATAGCCACGTAAAATATGTCAATTAGTGTGTAAAAGGGAATGTAGAGATAAAAAGTAAATACAAAGCTGGTCGAGTGGACCAAGTTATACTTACATATCCAGTGATGGAAATCACGTTTCTATGATTGACCATATTCTTATTACGAAATCCAAAATCGACCTGGTAGATTCGTGTCATATATGTGATGACAACTTTCTTAATGTATCTGACCATCGACCGATAAGAATGGTACTTCGCACAATTTATTGTAAACGTGATTCACCGTCGATTGATACGACTATTAATTGGAAAAAAATCACTAGTGAACATATAGATATATATATAACAACAGCTAGATATACTTTTAGAACAGATACATGTCCCTGTTAATATATCTGAGATTGCTAGTATAATGAATATAGCTGCGGAGATCGTCGTTTCCTACAAAGCGTTACAGACATTATCTGAAACAGTACTGGAACCATGGTAACGTAAAATCTCTTCAGGTCAATATGAGACACACTCGATCTTTATGGGTCAATGAAGGTCGTCCACGTGGTCATGTTCATGAGACATACAAAAACTATAAAACTGCGAAGAGGTTATTCCGTAACGAACTACTTTTTGCTCGCGAACAGTATGAAAGGGAACAATTCGAAAAATTAGAAAATATAGCAGAACTTGACATCGGTACCTTTTACAAAGCCGTACGTACCAAGAGGAACGTAAATAAACACTCTTCCTCATATGAATTACTGGTTAATGGGCAAATCATTCGTGATCCAGATATTTTGAGAGAAACCTGGTATGATCATTTCCGTAAGTTGTCAAGTCCGCTCAAAGAACCACATTTCGACGATAAATTCAAGGAGCACGTTGATGGTCTTATTGGTGGAATGTATACTGAGAGTTTAAAAAATAATGATGGTATATGTGAAGAGCCTATTACACTTCTAGAATTACAACATGCTGTAAGAGATAGGAATATTGCAAAAGCTGGTGGGCATGATGGGATAGTCCTTGAGCATATTAAATATGCCAGTTGTAACTTACTAAACACAATTATTGTATGTTTCAATGATATCATAGAAAGGGAATTATACCCTGATCACTTTAAATTCGGTATAGTAATTACTTTGTTTAAAGGTGTTAAGCGTGACAGATCGCTGATGGATAATTACAGAGACATTACTCTAACACCGATACTGCAGAAGTTACTGGAGAAAGTGTTATTCTCTAGAATATTAAAACAATGTGAGGTTATACATTTTCCACATAAGCTTCAGCAAGGTTTTAAGGAGCACTGTGGAAGTATTACGGCAGCGTTCACGGTAAAGGAAACCATTTCATACTATTTAGAAAGGAAATCGAAAGTGTTTGCTGCCTTTCTTGATAATCAAAAAGCCTTTAATAGTGTGTGGATAAACGGTCTCATGTATAAATTATATCAGCTGGGTTTTAATGGTAAGTTCTGGAGACTTTTGTTTGACTCGTTTATGAACGTGACGTCATCGGTGCTTTTTGATGGCAAACTTAGCAATGCGTACCCAATACACCAAGGGGTAGGTCAAGGTCGGGTGTTATCCGCCTGGTGCTTTCTTGTAATGATAAATGATTTTGCTGTGAAATTAGATAACCAATGCTATGGGCTAAAGGTTAAACATGTTCATATTCCTTGTGTATTATTAGCAGATGATACGTTACTTCTCGCAGCGACGCTTTCTTTATTGCAGAAAGAGCTGGACATTGTTTATTCATATTCTGCAATGTGGCGTTTAAAATATAACTATGTTAAAAGTTCGTTTATGATTTTTAATTTGTCACGTCGATTTAAATCGGAACATCACAGTAAGATATCCTGTTATTTAGGAGGGGAGGCTATTCCTC